CTTAAATCGATAACTCCATCCGATCTGAACAATTTTATAGACGGGTAACTCGTTTAGATTACAAAAATAAAATAAAATTTTAAGGCTGAGTATACTCATTAACGCCAATAATTATCACAAAAATGAAAACCAGCGAGAAGACTAATACCCAGAATTGAAAAGGCACGACCAAATCTTCAACGATCCCCTATATCACACCAAAATCGCTTCGCCCACCGAAAATGTTTACGTTCCATCACTCTCCACCGACTTTCCTCTTCGTATCCTCAACGCGTCGACTGCCAAACTACGCGTGAAAATTTATACGAGCCGTACATTTTGTTTCTATGGAACTGAAACTTGTTTTCGTCGAATTTAAACTAGTCCCATTTTTATTGCGATTCCGCGAAATTCATGAACCCTACGGGGATTTATTTTCTTTAACGTTTTATCTTCAGAATTAATTTACTTAATTCCTCGGTAAAAAGTCCTGTCACCCACATATGGATGACGTGGCGATCAACGTGTGAATATCCCCACCCTACAGTCCGACCATCAATCCCTGCACCCACGAGTTCCGCCCGCAACTCTGCGTTTCCGAGCTCGCGTCAAAGCCTATGCCAACGAAGTTCGGGGTCGACGGGCAAAATAAAAACCAAATCTCGTCGACCTCGCCAAAAACTGACAGTGAAGGGATTAAACGAATCCTGGCCGAAGTAGTACCCGGCGCCAAAACCCTACCTCCTGTCGCCGTCGACGCGAGGGGTGGTCTTAAAAAGTCAATTTCGCGGGACAAGCGGCTAAAGGGAATCGACAGGTTCATCGTGGGATGATTGGGCGCGGATCCACCCCGTGGATTTGGACATTTTTACGACCGCAGAGGAGAAAAGCCCGTGGAAGGAAAGCGCAACCTAAGCGAGCGCCACCCCTTCGTATTGATCTCGTTGCCGGCTGCTCAACATGGCGCCGGGGGTGGCGTTCACGATCGGTCTGATCCTCGTCGTCGGACACCTACACCAGGGGCCAGGAATCCACGCCAAGACCTTCAGCTTCCCCGAGTACCCGTACAAGGAGACCACCAAAAATGTAAGTCGCCAGTTTGCCTTCCATCGGCTCCAGATAGAAACGAGATCGACCGCTGACCGTATAGGTTATGGCCGACTGGCTTTATTTTGGGGGTGGCGCGCTTCGCCGCGACGCTGGACACCTGCAGCAACGTGCCACTTGAAATTTCTACGAAGAACGTGTCGGAGAATTTTGTGTATTCGTGACGCGCTCGACCCTCTAATCAGAGCTCTGATAATATTCTATTTTTTGGGGGTTGTTGTGGTTGTTGAGGACGCTACCCCTTGGAGAGTAAAATTCCAAGAATGGAGTCTGGAGGGGGGTTTGTTTCGGTTTTGCAGAGAAATATGTCTAGTTTGAGTAATTTCTTGTGACGTTCTCGGAGTGATTATGGTCGGAGGGGTCGCGTGGTTGTATTTGATGTTTTCGGGATGGTTCGACCTAACCTATTTTAAAATCTAGACGATTTTCTGGGAGCTGGTCGAGGGTTTAGAGTGTCTGTGATGCTACAACGATGCTGAAGTGGTCTTTACGTTACTGTAATCGCTAGACCAGGAATTTGATAGGATTATGGTGCATGCTGATGAGGCGACGATATGCAAAACACACGTGGAACGCGTTTCGTGTAATGTATTGATATCATTATTTTCTCTTGCACGAATCCATCTATCGTGCATGTAGTTAGCATATGTTTTCCAAATATTTGCATATGCAATCGATACGTCCGATCCGCAGTATGGTGATTATTGATACACTCCACGACCCCTATGAAAAGAATAGAATTTCAAAGATGGAAGATCTTCTTTAAGCGTGGGACAGAATTTTGCTACATTTTCGCGGACGCGTGCGGTGGTTCGAGCTGTTGACAATACTCTAATTAAACTTAAGTAGATCAGTATAAATTGTTCAGTGCTTCCATCAAGGTCAAAGTAAAACATCGCTCGTATCAGTTAAGAGAGATTCGAAATATTTTTCCTTGGGAACGAAAGAACCCTCTGTACGATTAAGTTTAAAAATTTCATCTAGTGGAACTAAGACTCTTAAGATTCTTTTGTAAGAAATTTCTCAGAGGACATAACAAAATAATGCAGACTGCACAAAAATCCTACGTTTACTCTATAGCTCCCACAGAAATTCTCTATTAAATTAGAATTATGATAAAATAATAATTGACATTAAAACGAATCAATTTCTATTTCTGTTTACATACTACTAATAATCCTATCAATCTCTAAATCATCGCTCCAGTTTTGACAGAATTCCTAGAGAAGACTTGAATTGAGAGTCGATTCAAATTCTGTATAAACCCGTCCTGTTGATTCCAATGACCCCTTCATTACTATGTTCCAAAATCAGTGTCGAGCTTTGAATTTTGATCCGATTCACGCGACTCCCTTTGAGTTACATTCAACCCCCGTTAGGTTGACCGGACTGTCGCATGGCTCGACTTAATGTTCCCATGGGGTGTATCGCCAGAGGGGTGAAATCGATTTGGCATTAACCCCGAAGACAGTCAAAGTGCTCGAGGGCATGCTTCGGTGGTATCGGTCGCTGATACGGTTATTCCAATAGAACGGAACGGAGACTCGCGTGTCAGTCGATACGGTCCTCGGAATAAGGATTACTCGTTGAATTCGAATCAATTATCTTCCTCTTGTCGAGGAGTTCGCTCCATCAAAAACACGAGTGTCCAAACTTTTCATTTCTCCATCACTTGTTGCACTGATATGTTCGGGCATCGTCACTTGTTACACTTGGGGCATATAACTCCTCAAACTTTGTTACTAAAACTTTCGTGGAAGTCAAAGGAACGCTTCTCTCGATTTTATTTTTGGGACGTACTTGCTATTGTTTTTGTATTATTTTCTTTTATTTTCTTCTGAGAAGACCTTGTTTTATATATCGAAATAATTATTGCGGAATTCCTTGATTCTTGGGGTAATTCTAAATTGAACTAGTATTCGTAATTGTAGTACTTCTTTTTTGAGACGGAAAGAATAAAGTTTTCTGAAGTAGCAAGTGGAAGCAGACAGGCTGTAGTCAGACACGTTACATACCAATAGAAGGATAAGCGTATGTGATTATGACAAATGTATATCTCTAGCAGTAAACGACACTCCATAATAATAACGAGCTTTTACTTTCACTTACACCGGTCGACGAAAGGGGAAGAAATTGTTTCCATAAAGACTGTCTTCAAAGGAAATTGAACGCGCCCGGTGGCGGTGGTACCAATAATAGAACTTCATGCCAGCACTAATTGGGGTTAATCTCCGAACAGGCTTCAACCAATTGTTGCGCTCAATTTTATCCGGTTATCGCGTGGAAGAAGAGTCGTCTGCATTTTTCATGACATACGAATCTTTCTCGGTAACAGATGCAGTGTCATTTTCGTTTGGAAACAAGTAGCCTCACGTCTGAATTTAGAAAAGTATTTAACGTAACGAAACCTGACACAGAATTACAAGATTCGCGTCAAGAGAACGTTAATAGCCTTCCATCGCGTTCCACTAATTCCATTTGATAAATGATAAATATTTGTTGTCATAATAAATATTTGTCTACTTTCAGAATTTGAGTTAGTCGTTTCTAATCAATTCCCAACAAGGGAGGGTTGAACTACTAAATTGGCTCGTCGAAGACTATTTGAATGCTTCGGGACGAGCCATGCTAAAAAATAACGCTATGCTTCCTCGCAGGAACTTCTCTTCAGGCAGTACGAGCAGACTTGCGAGGAAAGCGGCGCTTGCAAGATGCTGCCACCGCAGAGTACTATCGCTAAAACCAGATGCATCCGCGAATGCGTTTCGCCGTCCTGCTACAAAGAGATCTACTTGTTCGACCAGGTATTTCCTCCAGTTTAAGCTAATATCGATCACTACCAACACGGAACATTCGTGAACTAACTGCGATCGACTCCGAAGTCCAGTGGATATATAAGCTAACGAAATACGAATGGCAAATGAATTCGTTAAAATTTTCTATCGCGTTAACTTTCACTAAGATTCGCAAGGTATTCGTCCGAGAAACTTCCTTGCGCCCCTAACGTTCTTTAGGATCAAAGATGAAACTTCAGGGAGAAATTTCATCCCTGGCACTCTGCGGCTTGTAAGAATAACAAGCTTCCATTGTTCGAAGCCTCTTCGAAATAGACTTCAGACGCGTCGCGAGTGTTCCACTGTTGGCCGGGGGTAGGATTTTCGTGAAATTTCGAGTGGCCCAACGGAAGCGTTTCCGTTTCAGCTTGAAGAAGGGGAGATCGACGTGAGATTAAACTCCTTCAAGGGTTGCTTCATGCAGCGCAACGGGCGGCCGCGGAAGTAACGCAAGCCCAGCCCGGACGAGAAGTCGAAACGACGCTCAGAAGAGAGGGAGAACTATACCAAGCCATCCATAACACAAAATCGCAAAAGCCAAAGGCGCGCAGCGCTTCCCGAACAGCTCCGAGTGGTTTTAGGGAGATTAGAGATACGAGGAGCGCGATTATACTAGCGATACAACCGAAATAAATATAATGCTATATTTCAGAATCACAGAAGCGCACGCGTCCACACGCGGACGAACGCGAATTCGTCCTGGATAATCTTTTTCTACTTTTTGTACGCACGTATTGCCATGTTGAAGTAATGTTACGAACAATGTTGCACGGGTAAAATAAACTGTTAAAACAAGCTGTGGTATTTATATTCGTTCCAGTCCTCGTGTGTCCTACACCTTAAACTGGGACAGCTGAAAATGGAATTTTTAGAAGCTAGCAGTCGCTTTCATTATGAACGGCAGTTTTTCTATGCGTCGAGATATAAGAGGATTTGCATTGTATTTGCTATCAGTACAGCTATCTTTCAAGAAATATACACGTTTCCTAAGTAGAGTAGTGAATAAATAATTCAAATGTATCGAGATGCATGAATATTTGGCTGAAATAAGAAAGAATAGATCTGAAAGGGAGCACTCACCGCGTAGCGAAGACTGTTGAACGCATCGTCCGTTCTGGTGCTCTCGGTGGCCTTGACGTAGTTCCTAAGCCGATCCAGAGTCTCCTCGAAGGGTGTCTTGCAGAGAGATCTCTCGTTCCACGGTCCCTCGTCGTTGCAGTACTTTCTCCGGCAGCGCAGCCAGGTCGAGACGAACTCCAGGAAGTGGCAGGAAACGTAACGCGTGCTCAGGGTGCTCGCCACCAGGCCGTCGTTACTCATGGATGTGCACAATTCGTACAACAAAGACTCCACGTGCTTGTGACAGAAGATTAGCACACCTTCTAGACACTGGCACGCTATATCCCTTTGCGTCGGGATGCTCTGTCGACAGATGCAGCCGAGGTTCAAATATAATAAAAGGGATGAAGGGTGAATTCTAATAAAAATAACAGAGACATCGTTCGAAAGGGAAATTAAATATTCGTAACGAGTTTTTTATTTTATCCATGGAGAAATAATTATTCCTTCGTTTAATTAACATAGTACTAAATGTGGTAGGACTAACTTTGCCATGTATGATGTGAAGAGTTTCGAAAAGGTTGAGAACTCCTCTGGCTCCGTCACCGCTGCTCGCAGCCTCGTCCAGCTTAACAGCGCAGCCATCGATATTTTGCGTCAAAAGTTCCAGCGCGAGTTGCATCCCATTGATCGAGCAGTGGACAGACGTCCTTGTATTGAAAAGTAAATCTGCTAGGCTTTGGGCGCTGATCGACAATGGTTCATCGCGCTGGAGCACGAAATCTACTATTAGATACTTCGAAAATAAATGGTGGTTCTATAAATTCTTCGTCAGAAAAAAAAAAAACAGACGCGACACCTGTATCGACGATTTCTCCTGGCAGTGAATAATAAACGCCAGCAGCTTCAAACAAACAGCTGACAATTCCGGATCGTCCTCCGAGAATCCCTGCACGAGCAGCTCCTCCAGGAAATTCGGAGTTCCGATGCACTTCTCGATTACTATAATTATATAGAAAGGAGATTACATTCGACGTCTTTTAACCAGCGAAAACTCCAAGGGAGTATCTACCCATGAACGGTTTGCTCGTCGCGGACGTGACCAGCAAGACGTACGACTGCATTACCGCCAGTGTCCTCAATTTTACATCAGCCTCTCTTCTTAATACGATGGCCATCAGGCTGTCCGCGCAACGATTCCTGACGCTCAGGGACAGGGAGTGAGGAATGAAGATGTTCGTCAACTCTAGCACCGCCTTGATCTGCTCGTCTATAAACAGCGTTTAGGTTTGTTGGAGATTGGATTTCGACGAGCTACAGTCTTCATTAAATGTAAATAAGTAATAGTGTATGTAAGTAAGTAATAGTGTTTGTCCAGAGTGCAGTGTACTTTCTCAAACACTATCACCGCAAGCTACAGGTACGATACAGCTCATCGGATGCGATATGAAATAAAGGATTAGAAAGACTAAAGAGCGTCTATCCAGAAGTATAGAGAAGATTCCTAATAAAAGGGTGTTTCCCGAGCTGTCGTTCAAGAACAAGGGTAAATTAGAGAAATCGAACTGCCAACCTTTATCCCGCTGATAAGACGAAAGAAGACTGGGGAGCATGTGCCAGGCAATTTCAGCGATCTCCTTGGCGTTGTCGACGCGTATCATCTCGCGGACCCCCTTCATCGCCAAGTTAATTATCCTCTCCGAGTACCCGGTCTGTATGGCGAGCTGTTCGCGAAAAGAAACATTCCATCCAGCCGTGCGAACAAATTTTTCAATTCCGACAAAGTGACTCTAAATACCAATAAATAATGTCGAACGACTTGGTCGCGATCTAGAGTTAACAGAGGCTTGATGTCTCCGTCGGACTCCACCAGCCAGAAGTCCAGCGCTTTGTTCCTGAGATGTCTGGGAACGTCGGGGCAGGTTAAACAATAGCGAAGGAGATCAATGTGGTGAGTGTAGCAGTCGTTCAGTCTGGAATATTGCAACGCGGCGGCCAATCGCGTCGCTGCCTTGCCGTAATCCTGTTCCGAGTTCGGTGAGGGATGGGAGACAGACGCGATGGCGAACAGAAACCACAGGACCTTCAGAATTTGCTCTGAAATCTGCTGAGACTTGGGCAGACCGACGATCCAAGTTATCAAGGCCCTCAGGCATATCATGTCGCTTCTGAAATGTTTCTATTGATATTAGAGAGAACGCTTCCGAGGATGTCTTTCAGTTTCTATCGAGGTAGAAACTATCATTTTCGATGTATGAAAACGTGAGAGGAATGTGTTATAATCAAACCGCAGATGTCCTGTAAATTCATATTTGCTGGCGTATGAAAACGTAAAACCAGTAATAAATGGTAATACAGTACACGTGTTACGGACATTTACAGGTTAATTATAATTCTTTTAAATTATATTCTGATCACTATCTTCCTAACAAGACTGTGTTTAAGTGTAACATGAACTCGTACTCTCTAGTGCCGTGGTAATGATAATACATTAACATCATCAGCGCGATCGCGCTGTTTCCTCGACGGGCAACGACGTCGTTCCACTGCTGGGAGTCTCTCGGCAAGTCGAGCAGTCCCCTGTGCATTAAATTCTCGAAGCCAGTCGCGCCCTCGGGCCACTGATTAATCGACAATGATTTATCGCTCAGAGTGGTCACGATTCGCGACAGGAGCGCGCACGTGCTGCGACGCAGATTCTCTCTAAAACAGCAGATAGGTTCGAGTGGTCTGAGACGCTCGATATGTACGTAGGAGGAAACTGATTATGCCAGCAGACATAAGAGTAACTTGATTACGAAGGTGGATAGATTATCCAGTTGCTTGATATATTATTATTCTCGCGACTCAAGAATTTTTATTTCTGTCGCTCGATACCGAAACCTCAAGAATAACGATGAAGATAATAATATACCGAGATTGCATTAAGTGATATAAAATAAAACTCAAGAAAATGTGTTGACCGTTTCATGTCCTATTACGTTGTGCCAAATAATTAGATAATTAATTATTATTACCAAAGTATAATGAACTATAGAAGAAACCAAGAAAAGTTTTGGCTATAGAATGTCCTACTTTTCTTTGCGAAGGGAATAGGTCAATGTAAAAAGGTAAAATTATGTATACCGCACGGTGCCATTAACCTGACTCATACCGAATGCACAGAATTCATTAAAATTTAATCGGGACGACCAATTTTCGACGAGAAAGTCGTTCGAAACACTCCCAAGAAAGAAACTTCGGTCGATTTCTCCTTTGAAGAGATTCGAGAGAAACGTGCGAGACTTCTATGGACTTCGTTGCACTTCGCCCTACTCCCTGGGTAGAAACGCGCGACTTACGGAAGCCTGGTGGTTAAAAGCAAGAAGTACTTCAGATATCCGTTCGCGGTCAAGTGGTTTGACAAGTCGTCGCGGCTGCAGTTGCTCAGCTTGTAAAGGCTGTTCAGACAAGTCACCAGGCTCCGATGGAATTCGAGCCTGCCCGTTTCGTTTGGCTCCGTGCTCTGTCGGAGGCAGAAATAAAAGGTCCATTGACGCTTGTAATTAAATATGTCGCGATCTAGACGGCCGTGTAACGCGACACCGATTCGGTAACTTACTTTAGCGTAGGGTATCAGAGTGTTCATCGTCGCCAGGTAGATAGACTTCGCCAAAGACGCCCTGCTTTGCTCGACGTTGTCGAAAATTCGGCGATCGTCGCCGTTCCCAGCGCACAACCTGAAACGTCGGTTTCTTGCGAATTTTCCGGGATGTGAACTTCTTATTAATTTTGATATGTCTGTTATATAGATGATTGAAAATGGACTAAAAAATGTCTAAAAGAACCCACGTGGAATCTACTATTTTATCTACAAGTTATATCTAAAGTATTCTAAATTATCGAAAGTATTTAATTTGTAACCGAGTTGCATGATCACCATTTTGTATGTCTATGGCTTGCAACGAATTATTCAATTCCGAACTACCGCTTAATCTTTAAACCTATTTTTCTAATAAACACTAAAACTGAGATACTAAACATACTAAAAAGTGCATAAAGCAGACAAGAGTATTTGTTACAACGAATCTATATAGTACATAAAGATGTACTATTTATAAAGAAAGAGCAGAAGGCTATTTCTGGCACACGAAACTGTAAAATCATAATTTGATGATGCAATGAAGTTTCACGTTAATGTTAAACAATGTTATTTGCAACTCAGGTTAGGAACGCTCACCGAGCACCAGAAGCGCAAACAGCAGCCAGCGCGGTTGCAGCAAGCGTAATCGAGGCGTCATCGTCGCTGCACTCAACAATCTCTTTCATTAAGTTGAGTGCTTTGTGGCAAATTTCGAAAGCACCCTCCTCCGGCTCGTCTTCCGTGTCTATATTCTGCAGAACGATATTCAGCAACGCGACCGCGAGGAATTTTAATTTCTGGTCCAACTTCTCCTCCAGAATCAAAGATTTCAGAAGGAACAGAACCTGCTTCGGAGCGCAGACTGTGCCCAGTTCCATGTTAAATTTCACAGCTCTGGAAATTTGGAAAGCTAAAAGATATTTTTTCATTCTAATATTCGAACCTTTTTCTCACGGTAAAAATAAGTCCAAGCGCGATTACAGTCCGAATTATTTTTAATTAGATGTTAACGAAAGTTTTTTGTTTATTACCAACTATAAATAAGGGATTACTTTCTTTGATTGTAGCGAAATTCATTACCTGTGCAGTATTTCGTAAGTCGCGTTAATTAGTTTCTCCAGTACTCGCGTCTCCTTGCATCGAGATTTTAGAACGCAAATTGTTACTTTCAAAATGGAGTCCATGGCGTCCGCGGCTACGTGACATTCGTAAAAATTACGATACACGCTTGCCAAGCTCAGAAAATCGAGAATACGCCTATTAAAGAAACGTCAGTCATAGAAGAATATAATTGATTCGAATTAAGGAAGCAATTACTATAATTACTATAATCTGACTTAAATTGTATCCTTCATCTGAAACGTACGGTAGAAGACAATCGTTGGAAGTGTGTAGAATTTCAAACAATGTCGAAAGAACGTCGTATTTGATCAGCTTTGAAAGAACCTCCTGGCAGCACGCAGCGCCACCACTTTTAAACAGGTTACATAGTCGTTCGACGCACATCATCTGAAAGTTTCTAACTTTGCTCATTCTAATTCGTATATCCATCCAATGACAACCTAATATCAACCTAGTATGCACTGCTATCGTAACTGTTCTTTCTAACCTATGTTTTGAATCGAGCCTGTCTACATCGCGAAACGAAAATTCTTTATCGATATATATATACATATACAGGGTGTCCCAAAACTCGGGGAGGAGCCGGAAATGGGGGGTAGCAGAGACGATTCTGAACAACAATTTCCTTTGCAAAAATGTCGGATGGGGCTTCGTTAAGGAGATATTAAGCGAAAACCCCGACCAATCAGAGCGCGCGTAACCTTCGCTACCGCGGCCGCTCGAACGGTCTACGCGCGCTCTGATTGGTCGGGGTTTTCGCTTAATATCTCCTTAACGAAGCCCCATCCGACATTTTTGCAAAGGAAATTGTTGTTCAGAATCGTCTCAGCTACCCCCCATTTCCGGCTCCTACCCGAGTTTTGGGACACCCTGTATATATATATGTCCTCGTACCTTCCGATGAGCATTCACAGGGTAAAATGAGAATCTCTGATAGCGTCACTTTGTCACGTTCTATTTTACGCTCTAATAGTCTAATTATACAACAAAAGTGCAATAATTCTCGTTAAAGAAAGGGAATAGGTGCTCCTAGCTTCAATTTTGATTGCTATTCGTACAATTCTGAACTATTTATCGCAGCAAACAAGTATCGTTCGTTGAGAATTTTCCAGGCACACTCGTGTCCCGCGAAACGTGAATATTGCTACGCACGAATATCAAAGGAATGGAACATACCTGGACAGATTCGTCGTCCAGCATCAATCTCCGCTTCACGTTCATCAGCATAATATCGATGTCTTCGAAGTGCAGCTGAAACAAGGGCTCCATTCTCACAAAATATGCCAATTTTCTCACGTCGCACTACGTACACGCTTGCGACTCGACGCCAGGGAACGAGGCTTTGAAAAGTACTACGCGAGTAGTTTTCCAGGTGACGCGCTTGCGCGGAGCGCGCGAAATTCAAATCGTAAGAGCAGGGCCGGCGTGACCTTTTGCGGGGCCTGAATTCACATTCAAATCTTACACTTAAATTTTACAACGAGGAACTATTTACTTACTAACGCTATATATTTTTTATAAGAATGAATATTAAATAATAATACTTTCATGATTTTTGTTACTCTCTTCAATTTAATTATCGCTACCAAAAAAATGTCTTGCATCTCGGCAAAAATTGCTTCCATTTGTTAATGGTATCATCATTCTGTAAAAAGTTAATCAAAATCGGTGTCTTTTAATTGAGTAATTTTCATAGATCGCGGGGCCTTTTGAAACGCGGGCCCGGGTTCCGGCGAACGCGCTGAACCTGCCTTGCGCCGGCTCTGCGTAAGAGTGTAAAATTTAATTTCTGTTAAAATTCTATTACCACGTGTTTCCGTAAGTATCAATGTCAGATTCTTTGGAAAAGCTTCTGTCTCCTGATGAGATCTATATTTCCATATAACTCAAAGACCAAATGAAGGAATCTACGTTATCAAATCTTGAAAAACTTGAATATTCTATTATATCTTCTACTGCTAACGGGTAACCTAAACAAAAATGCAACACACGCTTCGCAATTAAAATAAACAGATTCGAACAGCGGTTGATTCACGTCAATGGTTACTATAGTTTATTTCAAACGTTGTTATAAATTATAATACAAATACAATCAGTGTAATCGTAATATATTATAAATGTTAAACAATCCTGAGTAATTACTCTACATAAGAGATAATGAATCGTATTGTTATCGATTATTCTTCTTTTTTTTTTTTTTTTGTTTCGCTTACTTTGACGTCGCTGACGACACGTCGAACGACACCGTCACCGGAACGAACCGCGACGATATATAATATAGAAATACAATAATAACATATAATATAAACAATCCACTTTCATTATGGAAGGGGTTAATTTCTAGGCTATTTATACTTTGCTCCTTAAATTGAAACGTCATAAACTATACAGTATTAACATCAAAGAAATGCTCGCGATCCGACGAATAAAAAAGAAAAAATTCATTAAAAAAAAAAAAAAAAAACATTTACACAATGAGAGAACGCGGTAATACACAGTGCAACGTGACAACGCCGTAATATTCATATGTGCAGAATCTATACATAACAAGAGCGAAACAAGCGTAAAAATACTTTCTATCGATCCTCGAGCGTATTAACGAGACTGAGGTGAAGAGAAAAAAAAAAATCAGAGAGACGAAAATGTGAAACAAAAGGAGAAGTCGAAGACACAGAATAGATTTTGCTCCTTGAGAATGTTTTACTTTACAAAAAAAACAAATCGAAAATAGAAAAAGAGGAGAGAGAAAGTGAAAAATATAGCAGCGATCGAAACGTCAACAAATGAAAATATAGAAGCCTCCCTAAACGACGAACTTTGAGCCGATCGTCGATTGTAAATTAGCCCCCTCGTAATAGTCACAAGATATCGAACGGATCTTGTAATTGTACGAAATCGATTTCAGAACGTAACACAGCGCAATTGGACAAACTCAACGATTTCGACGAACGTATTCGTTCGCACGCTTTCACACCAATACACGTACGCGTTACAACGCGTTAACTATCACGACACATGTATATATGACTCGTACGGTGACGTAGAACGCCTACTTCCGGTCTCCACCGATCCCGTGCCGTCACCATTAAAGGGCAACTGTCGAATCCTCTTGAAAGAAAGTCCATCATATTTAAATAAACCAGCTATTGTTTAGTATTAACTATTTTGGCGACTAAAATTGTACTTGATGTTCTTGGTTTAAAAATAATAACAAAAGAAAACTCGTTCTTGATCTACTACTTTCTATACTCGACTATTTTTTAAAGAATCTTGTATTCGAGACATGGAAGCAATCCAACAGGTAGACTGGTTCGCCTCTATTCCTTCTTCTACCCTCTTTGTTCCGAATAGACCAGAATTGGCGTTCTACCCGTACTCTCTTCGCACCAGTAGCTTTTTGGGCCGTTTCTCGTTGCGAAATCTAATGATAGATTCAAATCGTATTATTACAATTCCAATTATAGTTGCAAACAGAAGTGGAATAAAGGAAGTCCAGCATTTACCACGATTGGAACGAAAGTAAACGTCTGTTCAAGGCTATTCCGATACCCCCACAATACGTTGTCTATAAGTTACTCCACCTCCGCGTTGTTACTGGTAATGGGGGAAGTGAAACCGAGCGCTAAACCGAGTTTTCTCCTGATTTACTACAAAGTTACAGCACTCCGGAACCGACGGATCGACTATACGGAACGAGAAACGGCTTGACAGTGAAATAATGCCCGAAAAAATGCGCGTTCCTCGCGAAGGTCGAACGAAACGACCTACTACTCGCACCTACGGAAAAATTCATGGTATCAAAGTCTAAATGCATATCAAACGACGGCCGTTTGGTGACACGGCAGCCTTGTAAACGAGCTTAGCAAAAGTTCCAGTGGTAAAAACGTCCCATCGAAAACGACCCTCGGGCCGCGACAGACGTCCAATCGAATCCGCGGTTTCCCGACTGCGATGGTGAACGTGGCCATCGGGGGTTCGAGCCTCGTTCCGGTTATTGAATCATGTTTACTTGATAAACATGCTCAATATTGTCACGTGGCGACGAGCTCGACCCCGAACGACCGGATTAATTGACACGAAATTACGTCTCGCTCCATTCTACCGTCGAAGCTCGATCGCTATGGCAGTGACGAAATACTTGTGGGTTACCTGCGGAGATGGGCGCGTTCTGATCTACGTAACAGTATCGAATAACGTCGATAAACATCCGTCGATTGGTTCATTATTCGGTAGTGATTACTATGCTCGATCGAACATAAATGTGTATAATATACGTAATTTCATTTCTCAATTCAAATGCTAGGTTTCATTTAACGAATGAAATTTTCGAATAAGAATCTCGCCCATCTCTGGAATCGTAGGTTCTCGACGCGGCAAAATGACACACGCAAACGAGCAACCGGTCTAGCACCAATAAGAAAATTATCGCGCACGCTAGGCGACACGAGATCCGATCGAGTTTCTGGTGTCATGTCGATAAGTCCCGAGACCTGGTACTGTTCTACGAGTTGCAGAATCGTTAGGGGCAGAGATCAAAGCTCGAAGCGTTTCTTCCTCTCGGCGACCATGCCCACCGCTGGCAGTGGGGGGTGGAGCGGGTGATGGTAACTCGGCGAGGGCGTGGGAGGCAAGCTGCGACAGCTCCTGCTGGACCACCTCACTGCTGGAGACCTCATCAGCTCTGCAATGACAATCGCAATGACAAACTTCATATTAAACGAACTCGAGAATCGAAAGAAAATTCAGCGTGCGCAGCCCCGAGTATTTTAAGCAAGCTTCGAAAAACCGCGATAGGCAGGAAAACTGAAGATTCGAGACAAATTTACAGACATAGGCCAAGTACCGTTTAGGCGTTAACAAAATAAATTTACTATCGGATAGCAAAAGTGTTTTAGTAATCATTGAAGAATAAATTTACAGGGAATCTCAGAATTTGTGTGAGAACCGCGAATAGGGGGGTAGCTGAGAGGATTCTGAATAACAATTTCCTTTGCAAAAATGTCAGCTGGTGGTAACTGGCTGTTAATAATTAAAAAAAACGAAGCACCATCCGACATTTTTGCAAAGGAAACTGTGCTTCAGAATCGTCACGGCTATCCCCATTTCCGGTTCTCATACCAATTCTGGGACACCCTGCCTACAAACGTGTACAACCGAATAACGAGTATATGTAAAAATGAACCCATGACAAGAAGAGGAAACGCTAATTGTTTTTAATGCATTCAAATTTCGATATTTCTGCGAGTCGTGAACTATTTATTCTTCCTCTCCTTGTCCAGTAAACCGTGAGCTCCCGCAGAGAACCAGAAGCATTGGAAAATATTGCTGTAAGAAGCGCAAACGGCAGACGAAATGCGTGGCGAGACGAGTCGTAACGCGTGGACACACATCAACGGCGATTTTATAAAATATTCCTTTGCGACGTTGACAAAGAAATGAACGGACCTGCAACGGAGAGAGCTGGGGGTTCCGCGGTGAGGCGGGTCGTGCGAGAATCGTCGGCACGGAGGCCGTGAGCCTTCGATTGTTGCTGCTTTTCACTTTGCTTGATGTCCTGCCACCGGGTACCAGAGCCGCCGACTCGCATCTCTGTTGTGCCACCTTTCGTGTCAAATAATTTTCGAAATACGATTACCACGTCTGCACGATTCGCTTTTCTATCCATATTCGAGGTGGTTCGGGCGAACATAGGTCCGCAGGGGAGGGCAGGGTAATTCCGACCGACAGTGTCGACGACCACTTTTTCTTATTAACCCTTTGCACTCGAGAGGTGACTCTCGGTCACCGTTAGGTTCGACGCGGTAAATCAATCGGCAATAATGTTTATTTAAGTTTAATTTCATTGGACTACGAAGTGTCAATGAAATGATTGAGGCAAAGGTGATCCGATTCTCGAGTCTCGATAGCTTCTCAAATTGCTAGTAGATGCCAGAAAAAAAAACCTCAAGCGCAAAGGGTTAACTCGAAAAACAGCTGACGCGTAGCCTAATCAACGCGCGAGTTATCATTTTTCATAAAATTAAAATATAAAATAACACTAGTTTGTTACTGACGATATGCAAGATAATCGAAAACACCGTCATTTCGTTCTCTCAAATTTCATCTAAAGTTTTCTACCTTCAATATTCTCGTCTTCGAGTTTAAAAAGATGGTCAGAATTAACGAACCCTATTTGCAATCCCTCCACTGCCATCGACTTCCCTCGATTATTCTCTAGACGATACGATGCCTATACCGAGGACACGAAATGATATTTTTTTACACATCTAACATGTTCCCAAAACAGTTAAGCAACTCTTATCGTTCGATGCCGAT